GTGGGTCACCCAGCCCAACCCCCTGCTGAAGCAGGGTCACCCACAGCAGGCTGCACAGCACCGCGTCCAGGTGGATCTTGAATATCTCCAGAGAAGGAGACTCCACAGCCTCCCTGGGCAGCCTGGGCCAGGGCTCCGTCACCCTCAGAGGGAAGAAGTTCTTCCTCATTCTTCCTTACTTCACACACATATTGGCTAGCCAAACTCAGACTGCTTTAAGATCTTAAGGAATTATTGTTTTGTAATGTATTGTGACAATGAATTGCAAATAAAAGGATTGTGCATATTTTCTTTAATCTATTGGGCAGGACCCAGACCACATTTTGGGTCTGGGGCGACTGGAGCAGTGGTATTTCACCAACGGCCAGGACAGTGATAGTATGTGGGGATAAACTGGGCTCGTGATTGTGACACGTCACGTAACCTGCCAACGCCAATATTCACCGCCCTTTACTAGAGGTAGACAGGCCACCTTAACTCAGAAAAGAAGAATGTATAATTTTCTATACATTCAATAAATAGCCCCAAAACCCGCACGACGGCAGGGGAGGGGTGCTGCTCGGAGCCAGGCCCCGACAGCAGCGCTCTGCCGCTCCATGTTCTTGTAGCGTGCGACTGGCAAACTGCCACCTTCCCTCACTTCCCCACGCAAGAACCTTTCCGTTCTACACTCCCCCGCTACCTTTATTTCCACCCAAGGGGCAGTTGCCTCAGAAACCTTTCGCTAACCGTCTCCCCAGGCCTTCCATCCACAGGACCAAAGCGAACAGCCCTCCCATTAAATTTTCCAGCTTTTTTTCCTGCATCGATCCCATACTGCACAGCTTTGATCCAACTGAAGCACCAAGCTGTCACCGTTGCTCTGCACGCAGCCTGCCAGTACGACTGGCAGCAGAAACAAGCACTCTGGCAAGTTTCCGTTCTCTTGGCAGCGCGTGCTCTCCGACAAGGCCGTCACAAATGGGGACAGTGCACAACCAACCGCGCATCTTCTGGTCAGAGGCAGAATTTGGAAACAAGTCTTTTAAAGAGTTAAACAAAACTACCGCAGGCTAAAGGCCTTAGGAAGGAACACATCCACTGGGATTTATGTTTAGCCAAGCATGTGGAAAAAAAACCCCAAACCCTATAAAGGTGGATATTGAATGCCTGCAAGAGCCTGGAATGCTGAGGCGAGGAAGCCGAAGTGTGAGCAGCCCTTGGAGAATGACACAGCACGCTGGGCTACCACAACAGCTTGGCGTAGCGTGGAACCACTTGCCTACAGCATCAGCAAAACATTTCAACATGACCCAAACTCTGTCCCGTAGCTACAAGAAGTATACAAAATTATTTTACTTCCATATTTTAACTGGATCTCGGGCCAGTCCAACAGAATTTGTTGGGCTGTTCTTTTCTCAAGGGGGCACAGAGGGAAAAGATACACCTCACATCTCCTCCAAGCCCTGGACAAACAGTAATGCTTCCAGATCAGTTCTGGTAAGCGTTGAACAGAGGCTACGCTTGCCCTTAAGTATTCATATGCCCTCAAAACAGCAATTCTGTTCTTTAAGTTAAAAAAAAAAAGACTCAGAATTATATTGCACCTACTTCTACTGTTTAATCTCTGCCTCAGACTAACTCTGCTCAGAGATGCATATCAGAGCATCCAAATGGTCCCCGATAGGGTTAGGTCCTCCGCTTGTTTCCAAGATGTTCTGCATTCCCCAAGTAAAGTAAAGTTTAAAATATGTACCTAAAAGTAGGAGATAACTGAAGCCAAAAACACACACAAACCCACAACAAAAAAAACCCCACCAAACACACCCAAGACAAACGGAATCTTAACCATTTTGTTTAATGTTGTACAAAAAAAAAATTTGGTGAGTATTACAATGAAAAGTAATTAAAACACTGATATCACACTGCCATCCCCACTACCTAAACAGTTGAGATTCACTTCTCTATTCAAACAATAGAAAGTTTCGTGGCCTTCAGGAAAAGAACGACATTTAAAAAAATCCTTGGGTCACACGTATTCTTTTCTCTACATTTTAAAGCTGTGCTCACAGAGACGGCTTCTTCTGTCAGACTCTTCAGGTACACGGGAATTCAGTTGTAAATAAAGTTGAACCTAAAATCAAAAAGATTATACCAAGTGAGGAATTTTCAGTCTTTTTATTTAAGTGACATTTTGGAATGAAAAAGCAAATGTTCTGTTCCTGCTCTTGATCAGCCTCCACCTGACAGAACAAAAGCGTATTTTCCAATAAGGCAGCTGTAGCAGGAAGCAAATTTTAACAGCCAACGCTACACCAGCACTGCACATCAGTCTCTCACGGTGGCAGAAGGACTAATTATTAACATTTCACCTCTTAAGAGAGCTTCCCAGATATGAAAATACCAGTGAGAGTTACGTACGCCCATTGGCAACTCTTTCGCAGCATTTCTGCTATCGGTGCCAAAGGCTCCAAGCGTAACGGCAACACACGGACATACTCAGAGGAGCAAATTCTTCTCAACCAAGTTTCACAACAAAGAGCGTTCACACAGTGAAAGCAAGCATCCATCTCAGCGTCCACACATCTGTCCTATGGAAGTGTCTGTTGCGCTGACACCAAACTGGCATTTGGGTGTTTTGCTGGTACGTGGGAGAAAGTAGCCGCTGTCTTTAGAGCGGGGGGAGGAGGAAGCCCCCGTAACTACAACTGCCAAAACTGGGCCTAGATTGAGGAAAAAAAACAAACATAGCACGATACAAGCCTGTTATGGGCAACACCAGTGCTGATGTTCTGCTAACGGACTTTTTTCATCAAAATAGGTGGATGACAGAACTACTTCCCCGAGTAACAGTTGACAGGCTGTGGGATGCCTGAACACTTGCTGAAGTAACAGAAACCCGTGCGACTGGCGAGCTCTGGAGACCCGAAGCACAAGCCATTTTCAGGTAAGAAAGCCAAAGAGCGTGGACATTGGCAAGAGGAAGGAGAAAATACAGCTGTCCCTACAGATACTTGTGTTGTAAAGATGCTACACGTTACGAACTACTACAGAGTCCAAAAAACCCACCACATTTAATCAGCACAAAGCTGTGACAACATGAGCACCTAATTCAACATGTCAAGCTCTTGCTCTCACGCCGTCCCTAACACTGGCAAGAAGCTGTTCCTTAGCCGGTGCACAGCCTCATCCTCACTGCCTTCCACATCTTCCTTTGCTACAACTGCCAGACAGGACTCTCGTGCTAGCGAGTTGTCATCAGTGCCTCTAAACTGTCCATCATGTCTCATCTGAGGTAAATTCCAAGCTCTCTGGGATAGCTGCAACCTTTTCACTGTCGGTTTCTGTAGTGCCTAGCTTCGCTCTGGTTTCCCACGGCCAGCGGGTTCCCGAGAACTAGATAACAAACACATCATAATGTACCTGCTCAAAAGTTGAGGAAGGCTGGAAATAATGGGTCCATACCCCGGTGCGTTGTCATAGAGCTCAAACAACGGCGCAGCGACCAGCTTGTAATTTTTTGGGACTGCAAACAAAGCTAAAAACAAACACAAGCTGATTAGTAAGAAAAACCACCGCATGTTCAGCCAAGGTATCGCTGCCCCCCCCATACACCTCAAAACAAGATCATTACATACAGCACGATCGCACTAGAGTAGGTTTATTCCTTTTCTAGTTAAATACGGGGCTCACATGCTGTACATGTACTGACACAGGAGCAGGAACGAGCATTTACTAGGAATCCACGTTCAAAGACCATCTACCTTCAAAACTGGTATCAGCATTTCACTGTTTTGATGATCGGCTATGAACAATGGCAAGCGTATGAACAGAAACTTGCCACCACATTGCCTCGCGTGAAATGCAAGCGTTTAGACGCTGTTACAAATCCAACCTTTTGCAGCAAACAAACACTTACCCTTTTCTTGAAGCTGGACCAAGAAAAGCTTTTTGTGCTCCTTCGGTTTTGTAATATGAGCTGGGATATATGGATACTGGAAGAAAAACAATAAAAATTGGTTATACAGAGCTTTGAAAGTATTGTGCAATCTTAAGTGCTACTTTATAAATTATCAAGCACTGTGCAAGCTTTCAACGTGTCATACACTCTTCTTCCATGGCACCAAATAACGAAAACCACTTTTACAAGAAAGTACCGAAAAAGAAATGCTGTCGCTGCTGTCACAACTATTGACCGGATCTAAACCGGCACCAGTACCCAGGAGCAGCTAAAACAACCCAACAAGAGAGAGATGCACAACAGCAAAGTGAGCAAGTATTTTCAGTACTAAAGCATTTAGAAATGGGGCAGCGAGACTATTCTGTTCACAGGGTATCTGTTCCACACGCAGCAGCGCAAGATTTTCCACTGTGGCTAAACCAGGAACTTAAGTGGTGCGCCTGGCTCAGCGCAGGACTGGAAGCTATGACAGCCAGCGGTTTCTCATCCATCAGGACGCGTGCGAGGAGCGAGAGGGGAATTTCCAGAAGAAAAAGTCCTTAGTTTCTCTCAGCCACAGAAAGGAGATGAAATAGATAAAAATCAGAAAACCTCATTGCTCACGCAGCGGATACTCAGAAAGCCCAACTGCCAGGCTGAAGGCTTCTGGAAGAACAATCAAAACCTGACTGAGGAAGATGGAAGTCAACATGAGCACTCACCTGTGGAGGTTCAAAGTTTGGTCTCCACCAGTTACCAATGCAGTCATCAATCACCCAGTCTTGCTGAACCCCATCCTGACGGCCCAGTATCTACCAAAAATCCAGTTACAGTCAAAACTCTAATACCCCAAATGCCCCCTTTTTTTGTTTTTTTTAGAAAACATACACTGGAAGCGTCGTGAAGACCTGCTGTAATACAGGTCTGATGTAATTCAAGGACTGCTCTGAAACAGCTTTTAACAGAATTTTAGAGTATTTTTGTATAAAGTTACATTTTTTAGTAAAAGCCTCCCCTGACAGGACAAGGACACATCTCAGATTCCACGCTGTATTCAGCTGAACTGAGTCCCGTCGGACCAAGGGGAAGAACGAACTGCAATGTTACGCCACCTGACAGAACCAATCTGAGTTACGTGGAGAGCATGGGAGGTTAATTGGTGCATTGGGAAGACCATCTCAAAAACAAGGCCTCGTCAGTTGTGCTCCGCAACATATTTTATTGCCCATCGGCACACAAGCTCGCCTGAAGTCAGGCAAAAAGCAAACGAGCTGCAAATGAGCACAGGGCTCGAGCGGCAGGGAAGGGGGCAGCCACTACACCCCTCCGTCACACTCCCGATGCAGATCAGTGACAACCTGCTGCTTTATTTGTTAACTACCCAAGAGCACCACAAAAGCATCGCAACAACAGGAGCGGTAAGGAGACTACTCTAATGCTTCGGCTTATTCACTTAGCTCTAAAATTCTCCAACATCCCGGTATAGCAACATAACAAAAGAAAACAGACCTCTGTCATTAAGCGTTTGAGCCCTTCTACCTCATCTTCTCCCGGATTGAGTTCACCACCAGGTCTGTTAAAATAACCAATGACAAAAGCTGAAGTTACGTTCTGTCATACTTACAGACTTCCACAGGTAGGTCTGCTTCCAGGCAGGGGTTACAAATTCACTCAAGGCCCTTAAGTCAGAAGTTCCAAAGCTAACTTTGCTGAATTTGCAGACAGTAGGATAGCTTTCACCAAAACCGTGACTAAAACGGCTACTCTATGTCCCTTAAAAAAAGAAACCATTACACAAAATACTTCAAATTCACCAGGATAATGTATAACATATGTCATAATAACTGGGACAATTAAAAGGTAAAGTTTTAACAATAACATGAAAGCACTAGAAGTTGAAGAAAAGAGTTGTAAATACTGACCATATTTGTCCTTATCTCAAACACAGCGCTCGCTGAAGCACCCAGGAAGCAGGAAATAAAACTCGCGTGGGGAACCACAGCGCATTTGATGTAAGGTTAATGAAAAAAGACAAACTAAAAACACATTGTCATCATCACAGAGTTTTGCAGAACTTGTAGAGTCTAGCCTACTTTTTCCACACACATCCTCCAAATCAAGAAAAGGAATCTGGATATAGAATTAGATTTCACAGGCACACTTGAGAACAAACAGTGTAAGTGTTAAAAACACAAGAAAAAACACAAACAGGATAACCTGAGACAAGTCAAACCCCTCCAGTTCAAAAAGGAAAACCAGCACCGCCACCATCACTACGACCACATGATCCACACACTAAAATTTCACTCTGGCTCTGATAACCATGAGACGAACTGAAGCAATTTTCTCAAATGCAGGTGCCTACTTTTCTCACTGCACCCAGCTCACCCAGCAGTTTGTAAACAGGTATCGTTCTGCATTTACTTGTGTTTATGCCTTGAGCTTTATCTTGCCATTTTTGCGGCCATAGCATAAGCATATTTAAGCATAACAGCTTTCACAGTGTAAGAACAACTGACAGAATCACAGAATGCTTTGGGTTGGGAGGGACCTTTAGAGGCCATCTAGCCCACCCCCCCTGCAGTGAGCAGGGACATCTTCAACCAGACCAGGTTGCTCAGAGCCCTGTCCAACCTGGACTTGAATGTTTCCAGGAATGGGGTCTCTACTGCTTCTCTGGGCAATCTGTGCCAGCGTTTTACCACCCTTGTCATAGAAATTTTCTTCCTTATATCCAGTCTAAATCTACTCTCTCTTAGTTTAAAGCCATTGCTCCTTGTCCTGTCGCAACAAGCCCTGCTGAAAATATCTTCCCCATCTTTCCTATAGGTCCCCTCAGGTACTGGAAGGCCACAGTAAGGTCTCCCTGCAGCCTCCTCTTCCCCAGGCTGAGCAGCCCCAGCTCTCTCAGCAGTCCCTCCCAGCAGAGCAGTTCCAGCCCTCAGATCACCTTTGTCATCCTCCTCTGGCCCCGCTCCCACAGCTCCATGTCCTTCTTGTGTCCACCAGTACCCCCCAAGTTCCTCTCCTCAGAGCTGCTCTCCATCCCCTCATCCCCAGCCTGTACTGATAGTGGGGTTTGCCCCGACCCTGGTGCAGGACCTTGCACTTGGCCTTGTTGAACCTCCTGAGGTTCACACAGGCCCACCTCTCCAGCTTGTCCCAGTCCCTCTGGATGGCATCCCGTCCTTCTGGCGTGTCAACTGCACCACCCAGCTTGGCGTCACCTGCAAACTTGCTGAAGGTGCACTCGATCCTGCTAAGTCATTGACGAAAATATTAAACAGCACCAGCCCCAGTACAGACCCTGAGGACACCACTCGTTACCGGCGTCCATTTGGACATTGAGCCGTTGACTACTACCCTCTGTCTGCAACCTTCCAACCAATTCCTTAGCCACCAAACAGTCCACCCATTAAATCCATATCTCTCCAATTCTGAGAGAAGGATGTTGTGGGGGACTGTGTCAAAGGCTTTACAGAAGTCCGGACAGATCACATCCGTAGCTCCTCCCTTGTCCACTGATCTAGTCACACCATCACAGAAAGCTACTAGGTTGGTCAGGCAGGATTTGCCCTTGGTGAAGCCAAGGCTGATAATGAGCTTTAAACAGAAATCAAACCTGATAATGAGTTTTAAACAGAAATCTACCACAGTGATGCCCAGTGACCAAGATTTCCAGTCTGTTCAAGCCTAAGCCACCCCGCCCATGAGCAGAGACAGAAAGACAGTTTAGATGAAAACCCCACCATGCAAAGAAGTTCTCCCACAGTAAGTCCTTGCAAGAAAGAAGTCACACTCAAAACATCAGTTAGCCACACTTCAACCTCGCGCCCCCACGTTCAGTGGTTTGTGACAACAAAGTTGAACTAAAAAGTTACATTCAAGCAGCAGCCACTTACAGCTTGAAAAAAGTTGTACCCAGCTGCAGCAGCAGCACGTGGGGCAGCCTGTGCTCATGTACAATCAGAACCCCTTCCACCGTCCGCCTCATGCCAATCTTGTCAAACTCTTCCCTCATGCGCTGAAACCGAGCTGCCACGGAACTGTCCTTCTCATACAGTGGCTCCTTTGTGCCAAATGTGTAATTTGTCAGAGGATACCTGTAAGGGGGAAGAAAATACGTTACTGCACAACAAGAAACCTGAATTTCAGTCACTATGGCACAGCACCCATCCTGAGGCAGAACCTTCTGTGCCTGATGGAACAGTAACTCATTCACAGCACTGGGCTAGCAGCTCTCGCTTGTGAGTTACGGGGCCCGTATCGCACGACGATCTGCGCTACGACACATGCCAAGTGACAAAGTCCTGCCGCTCGACACACAGCTGTGGTGCCGACTCAAAAGAAGCAGCCCAGAAGAACCAGTAACAACTGTTTGTCAACAGCCACCCTCTTTGAGCTCCACACTGCAGAGGAAAGGCAGTTGAGGCAGTTGAAGTCCAGTGGAGGGCTACGAGGATGGTGAGGGGACTGGAGCATCTCCCCTACGAGGAGAGGTTGAGGGAACTGGGCTTGTTCAGCCTGAAGTGCAACACATCCCTACCTTGGCTGGCGTGGCAGAAGCCAGAGTTTTCTACAAACATCAGGCAGGCTGGTTCCTCCCACGCCAGTTATGCCAGCTTCACAAGAAGCGATGATGAAACCACAGAAATATGCTGCTTTGTCACAAGCTTTTACAAAGGGGACAAGGGAGGTGGGGGAAGCCCACCTCCCAGGATGAAAATCCTGCTTCTTCACCTTGACAGAAATTAGAAAGAAAAAATAGCACCATTTAACAGAAGAGGTGAGAGCTGTAGGTGACCCTGCTTCGGCAGGGGGGGTGGACTAGATGACCCACAGAGGTCCCTTCCAACCCCTACTATTCTGTGATTCTGAGGCTCTGAGAGGAGCTGGGAAAGGGACGGGAGGGAAAAGCTGTGCTGGGAAGGTAGCAAGCTGCACAGAACAGCATTTTTTTCTGCAGAAGTAAATGAAGAGCCTGAGAACTAAGCTGTTAGAAGTGGTTTTGTTTTGAAGTGGGAAATCAGACATCTGGGTCACAGAAGGGGAGAAATGCTGAGAGTCTAGGCACAGGGCCAGGAGCCTGGGGTAAGATCGAGAACTTGAGCAGATCACTGCTGGGTGAGGTGCTGGACCCCTGCCTTCTCTAGTGACAGCACAGTGAGACTTCTCCAGGTGAGAGGGACTCAGAAGAGTCAGAAGGAAGGAACAGTCAGGCAAGAAATCGGTCCGTCCTAGCAAGCACAGAGGGCACCAGGAGAATGCTGCTGTGCAACAAAATCCAAGTAACAAAGATCTGATAGCAGGAGGCCTGGAGGGAAGACAAGATCGTCCGGCTAAGTCAAAAAGGCCAGGCTGGATAGGGCTGGGAGCACCCTGGACTGGTGGAAGGGGTCCCTGCCCGTGGCAGGGGGGCTGGAACGAGATGATCTTTAAGGTCCCTTCCAACCCAAACTGTTCTACGATTCTATGAAATACGGAGAGGAAAATGGGTTCTGGATAGAGCAGCAACCAATTATCACCACGGTTTATTGACTAATAGCACCTAGCAAGTGAATTAACGGAATAAAGGACTGATTTCTTGCAGAATACTTTCCTTGAGATGCATCTTGTCATGTATTCTTTCCCCAATACTTTATCATGTCAAATTTCAGTAGTATACACTCCTCCCCCCTCCAACTTTTCCTCTCCCCCCAACTTTCCTCATGTTTTACAGCAGTGAAATCACAAGGCAGTTGGAACTGTTAGAGCGCTTTCTCATGTACACAAGTGAGCCAAAACAACCAGTTTCCTAACCACAGATACCTTCACCAGCAAGCTCCTTCCCCTTTCACTTGTAGCTTAGAATCATTTCCATTTCAGATATGCAGATAGCTTTATTAATAATCCGCTATGCTAACCCTATACTACTGCAGGTCCGTTAGTCTGTACAGCAAAAGCCTTAGCCTATACTTGAAAAAAAAAAAAAAACAAC